GAGCTAAGGACCATTTTCACGATGATCCAGGCTCAGTCGTCGTTTATTAGCCAGGAGTTACAATAAAAGGAATGGATCTGCCTCCTCGGGCGTTCCTGTTGCACTTTCACGAATCAACACCGGTCCGTCCTCCATGAATAATGTGCCTTCTATCCCGATCTGTCCCACCTAGGATTGGACCTTCACGGGAACCTTTTGCCTAGTTAGTTGCTAATCCACTGATTTGCAAACATCGAACAAGGCCCGGAAAAATCCAGTAATCGTAACTACTTGTCTATAAATATATCTCGGCCAGCCAGTTGTTTTAATTTCAAAGTAGGAGGCAAGAGAAAGTCGCGCAAATTGAAAAGTTCGCAGATAGGGCGCGGAATCCCGTAAAATAATGCTCAGGGCGTATTAATTAAGAATATCAAAGAAATTGACCAAACTATAAGCAATGAATGCGATGCAACTAGGACCGATGACAGAAATCTGCTTACTTAGTGCAAGATGAGGACAGAAAAAACAGGCGGAAACCGTAATTATGGTTTCATTGCTTAAGCAATGAAAGGTAATTATAATTTAGATTGTTATATGAAAAAATATAGAAAGTAATACAGGTGAATAGGCTATTCGTATAAAGTTTATTATGTTAGAAAGCTTTACTTTTTAAATGAAGTTCGAGTACATACCACCGTGGCATTATAATGTACCGAAAGCTGTTTTTTTCGTACTGACGGCATCGTAACGCTGATATATTTTTTATTTCCGAAAATGTAGGAAATCCAGCATAGCACCGAGAAGATGATGGACGGCGCAGTGTATTCGGTACGGCGACATCAAACGAATAACTAATTCGTCCCACTTATTATTCTACTGCGAACAGAAATGTACGCTGCCGAAAAAATTGACTTGCGTTTGCTGGAACAATGTGAATCTGCAGATATTATGCCAACACATGGGTGGGTGTATCTAGGCTTAGGCATTGTGAGCGGAAGAAAGCGCTGCTGATTGACATTTTTTCAAACTTAAGAATACCATCAGTGGGAACTTTCCTTCTTTCTGGGGCATGGTGTCACGCGCACGCTAGCCCTATCTCCTTGTGCATTCTCTTGAAAATCTGAACTTTCACTAAGAAAATCCTTAAAGGCTTCACTAGCACCAACGAAGGACACCGGCGAGGAAACGTTTGAGTCTCCAGGGGAAGGAGTGGTCTGAACGGCGATCTCCTTCATGGCTATGGGTGGCCATGACCAGTCGTAGATGGAGGAGCTGACGTCCTCGGAGGTATCATCTGCATGCTTCGTGAGTTCTTGCCCCCAACGAACCAGCATCAGAACCCCCAAAGGACAGAAGAGGAGAAGACAGTGGAATCGGATGGAAGAACTTGGCATGGGTGGTATATTGAGGTCGGAGCAGACGGAGACGGAGATGCCGCAGGTGCAGGAACTGTTTTCTATAGTTGCAGTCATCAGGGAGAAGGTGGTGGTGGGGGGAGTATCTACCAGACGAAACTTGCATCAACATATGGAAAAAACAGCGCTATCGACAACTGGACCTTACAAATTATCAAGACGACTTCAGATGTCACTCGCAATGATGAGGAACCTGTCCGGCAATGTTAAAAACGGACATTTGGCCATTGAAGTCGCTGTTAAATCGAAGTTACTTTCGATGTTTGACATGCTTATAAGTATCCAGGCAAACAGTGGAAAAAACTTTTCCATCCGAAATATGTCTAGAACCTGCCCCTAAAAAATGACGCGTATGCGTTGTGATTGATTCATTTGATGCCAACATACCCAGGTCCAAAGAACACATCAAACACTAGTATTTAAAAAAA